AATGTTGAAAATAAATAAAAAAAAAAACCAAGCTAGCATTACCCCTTCTGATCCAACATGTCAGCACTGAGGCAATAAAAATATATTTTTACTGAAAGGGAAAGCAGACTATGAAATAAAGTAGAATTTTTACTCATTTTATCGTTTTCATTATTTCTTGAGACATTTTATTATGTGAGCACTTACCACACTATCCCTTTAAATGTGATCAGAGGTCAAAGGGTTAAGGGGACATTCCACTGCTCAATCCCCACCTCCCAAAAAAACACAGTTTAGTAGATATACCCCAATGTAAACATATGCATTTTCTTTTCATTGGGGTTATAGCTAAAAAAATCTAGCAAAAGCTGCAGATATCTTCCCTGAAGCCCCTGCAAACCCCCCCCCCCCCTTCTAGCCACGCCCAGACTCTACGTGGCTGTCCAATCAGACACTTTCCAATGCAGCTCAATGAGAAGTGAGAAGTTTTTGCCAGCCAGGTGCTCTGGGTAATTGCTGCCTCCATTGAGCTAAGCAAACCAGGAAGTAAAAGCACCACTTGTCTAATTGACAGCCTGGAGGTGTAACCAGGTTAATTCATAAAAGTGCCTATTTCTATGGAAATCTGAACTTTTTGTAAATTGAAAAAAAGAGGACATTATCTTCACACATAAAGCACTTCAAGAAGCTAAAATGGTTTAGGGGTTCTGGAATGAGACTATATTGCATTACTACATGCTATGACATTTCTGGTCATATTTCAGAGGGAGTCTGAAATATTAGAATAGAAATATAACTTATTACATACAGTAGGTGTTCTTAACATTAATTAACCCCTTAAGGACCGAGGACGGTTCAGGACCGTCATCGGCATTTTTGCGTTGCCGACCGATGACGGTCCTGAACCGTCCTAACGGTCAGAGTTACTTACCTGATCGCCGTCGTTCCCCCGGCGGCGATCAGCGTGGCTCCGGTTGTGGGGAGACTGCCTGCAGCCCAGACAGTCTCCCCACGGCAGATTAGGACCCCTGTGGCCATGTGATCGCTTAACACAGCGATCACATGGTCACAATAGGTGTCCATAGTGCTGCCTGCAGGGGGACTGTCTGTGCTGACAGGCAGTCTCCCTGCTAGTGTAAAATCAAAAAAAAAATAAAGTTAATGTTAATAAAAAATAAATAAATAATTATATATGTGTATATATGATATATAGACATATATTATATCTATATAATATATGTCTATATATCATATATATATAATGTCATACTAAGTGTATTTTTATATTAATATGTACTTATATTAATATAAAATACACTTATAATTAAATTACACACGTATATATATAATATATATAATAACTATATATATTGTATATATATATTATTATAAAATATAAATAATAAGTAATTTAAATTAAATAAAAAATTTTAAAATAATAATAAAAAATTTAAAAAAATTATATAGCTATATGAAATTTTATTCTAACTGTATTTTAAAATTAATATATATATATTTATATCAAAATACACTTAGAATGAATTTGTATATATATCTATGTATATAAAAATAAATAAAAATAATAAGAAATATACATACGTCCATATACAAAATTACATAAATAATTATATAAATATACACGTAGACTTCAAATATATAAATATGCATATATATTTAAATTCTACGTGCGTATTTATGTAATATTTTTACATAATTCAGTAATTTTATTGATTGCAATTTGAGGGACCTGCCTGCCAACCCAGGCCGAAATTCCAGAGAATTTAATTTGCTAGCATTGTATTTTACCCTGTAACGTTCTACGACACCCTAAAACCTGTACATGGGGGGTACTGTTTTACTCGGGAGACTTCGCTGAACACAAATATTAGTGATTCAAAACAGTAAAACATATCACAGCGATGATATTGTCAGTGAAAGTTACTTTTTTGCATTTTTCACACACAAACAGCACTTTTACTGATGATATAATTGTTGTGATACGTTTTCCAGTTTTTAAACACTAATATTTGTGTTCAGCGATGTCTCCCGAGTAAAACAGTACCCCCCATGTACAGGTTTTATAGCATTTTTGAAAGTTACAAGGTCAAATATTTTTACATTGAAAATGGCCAGGTTGGTTACGTTGCCTTTGAGAGCGTATGGTAGCCCAGGAATGAGAATTACCCCCATGATGGCATACCATTTGCAAAAGAAGACAACCCAAGGTATTGCAAATGGGGTATGTCCAGTCTTTTTAGTAACCACTTGGTCACAAACACTGGCCAAAATTAGCGTTCAATTTAGTTTTTTTACTTTTTTCACACACAAACAAATATGAATGCTTACTTTGGCCAGTGTTTTCGACTAAGTGGCTACTAAAAAAGACTGGACATACCCCATATTGAATACCCTGGGTTGTCTACTTTAAAAAAAATATGTACATGTGGGGTGTTATTCAGAGATTTATGACAGATAATAGTGTTACAATGTCACTATTGATAAATTTTAAAAATGTATGTTTTGAAACCGCAATATCCTACTTGTACCTATAGCCCTATAACATGCAAAAAAAAGCAAAAAAGCACGTAAACACTAGGTATTTTTAAACTCAGGACAAAATTTTGAATCTATTTAGCAGTTTTTTTCATTCGCTTTTGTAGATGAGTAAAAGATTTTTCAAGTAAAAGTCAAAAAACATGTATTTTTTTCAATTTTTCATCAGATTTTTGTATTTTTTTTAAATTAAAATACATGAGATTATATAAATAATGGTATGTAAAGAAAGCCCCTTTTGTCCTGAAAAAAACAATATATAATTTGTATGGGAACAGTAAATGAGAAAGCGGAAAATTACAGCCAAACACAAACACCACAAAAGTGTAAAAATATGCCTGGTCGCAAATGTACAACATCGCAAAAACAGTCCAGTCCTTAAGGGGTTAAAATTAACCAAGAACAGCCTATGCTATGAATCGGCTAGTATTTTTGGAACTGCCGATTCCCGTAAAAAGTCACTAGACTTTAAATGGAATATCTGTAAGTAGTATAATGCTAAAACAAGGCATCTGTGCCATACATTGTATTAAAGACTGATATCACAGCCTGCAATTGAGCCCTGCAATGTCCCAGCGTCAGCTGTCCCACCTCCCCTTACTGGCTTCTAGAATTGTACTTTGAATCATTAAGGCTTCCGCTTAATGAGAGCAGAGAATTATTTTACTGACAAGGATCCCAGTGAAGAAATAAAAAAATAAAAAAAATGATGGATAGACACTACGGGCAAACAGCAAGGGTAAATTCTGAACGAAAATAAATAATTGAGTAGATGGCTTAAAATGTGCAAGTGGTAAAAATATTAATAAGAATATAAAGATAAGAGATGAGAGAGGCCCAGTATCACATTACAGTCCTCAAGTCACACTTATGGTCTAGGTTTTGTCAGTTCCCTCCAAGAACAGAACTGGAAAATGCCTAAATCCTGCATTTTCGGTGAGAGAGATCCAGCATTTTAAAATATATATACGAGGTAGGGGCATATCTGTTTCTTCTGCTCTGTACGTTATTGCATTGGACAGAACTGAATTTGCCATGTTCTACTCAACAGCCCAGAAGGTGAAGCTCAGCATCTGATATGACTTTCCAACGGGATATATTTTGGTTGGGTGGAAATTGAAAGTAGTTTCTACTCATTAACTGCATTTCCCTTTAAGAGAAACATTTCATATTCTCCATAAGTTTAGACAGACTGTAACGTTCTACATTAAGTACAGATGTGAGTTATGACATGCGAGCAAATGGACACAGACTGCAATATCCTATTGCATTCTTTTTGCTACAATTCCTCTTATACGATGGAAATATAATATATGAATACTGGGTAGCACTGGTATTAGGGTTCCTGTTGCAGTACCACTGTCAGACTTGAAAACGAGAGAAATCTCAATGTGTCCTTCCTGGAATTTTTTTTTATAAATAAATAAATAATGCTACCTCTACCTCATGGTGCCTAATGAGTGTTACAGTCCAGTTACGAGTTAAAAGGTTAATTTTATCCAGGTCAACATGGCTTCAGCTTGCCATTGCTCAGACTCACATCACTCCTCATCAGCTTAGTTGACTCAGAATTAAATGTGCTGAGTAGTGATGTCGCGAACATAAAATTTTCGGTTCGTGAACGCGAACTTCCGCAAATGTTCGCGACCGGGCGAACCGCCATAGACTTCAATAGGCAGGCAAATTTTTAAACCCACATGGACTCTTTCTGGCCACAATAGTGATGGAAAAGTTGTTTCAAGGGGACTAACACCTGGACTGTGGCATGCCGGAGGGGGATCCATGGCAAAACTCCCATGGAAAATTACATAGTTGATGCAGAGTCTGGTTTAAATCCATAAAGGGCATAAATCACCTAACATTCATAAATTGTTTGGAATAACGTGCTTTAAAACATCAGGTATGATGTTGTATCGATCAGGTAGTGTAAGGGTTACGCCCGCTTCACAGTGACAGACCAAACTCCCCGTTTAACACACCTCAAACAACCACAAACAGTCCATTTGCACAACCGCAAACTCCCCATTTGCACAAGGTTGGATACCAAGCTAGCCATGTCCTGTTCCTTGTCCTCACTGATGTCATTGAAGGTCTCTTCCTCCACCCAGCCACGTACAACACCAAGGGTCCCCAAAGGTGACAACAAGCCCCCTGGGACGCCTGCTGTGTTTGGTCTTCCACCTCCTCAAAGCCACCTTCCTCCTCTGACTCCTCTTCTTCAGACTCCTCTCTCTGCATTGCCTCTCTCTGCGTTATTATAAGGTGTGTTAAGTAGTACTATTCATATCAGTTTAATCCCTGTTACATCCCCTATCAGGGGACGTGTATATGGCACCGATTTTAGGAACCAGGAGATGGAATGCTTGGTCGGTCCTCCTACTTCAAATTTGGGGCACTGCGTGTGCAATCTAATTAAAATCGATGCTATATACACATCCCCTGATAAGAATAGTACTTCTTAACACACCACTCCTATCTGGATAGGAGTGGTGTGTTAAGAAGTACTATTCTTATCAGTTTAATCCCTGTTACGTCCCCTATCGGGGGACATGTATATAGCATTGATTTTAGGAACCGGGAGATGGAAAAAGATGCTTGGTCGGTCCTCCTTCTTCATGGCAATCTAATGTGCCACGAAATAGGAGTGGTGTGTTAAGTAGTACTATTCTTATCAGTTTAATCCCAATGTCACGACTACTAGTGTGGTCCAGCACGCAGAAACTATGTAAACATATACATAGGCAAGAAAAGGAAAATAAAAGGACAGAGCGTAAACCAGACCTTAGAATGGCCGGACTAATACGCTAGAGACAGAGAATGGTCCAAGGGAAAGCCGAGGTCAAGGAAGCCAGAAAACACAATACCGTTTACACAAGCCAAGTCAGGGAAACCAGAATTCAGAATAACCAGGGAAAAGCCAAGATCAGGATACCAGGAAATCAGATTCACAATGATAAAGCACTCTCAGGAAACCAGGAACATGAAACCACGACAGGGGATTTAAATATCACACGGCGGGCCGGCAGCTGCGACACCCTCTTACGTCCCCCTCATCAGGCCTTTTTTAGTCGAATGTATCACCTACTGTCAGTCCCTTCGAGATCCATCCTTCATTCATCTTAATAAAGGTGAAGTAATCTAGACTTTTTTGACCTAGGCGACTTCTCTTCTCAGTGACAATACCTCCTGCTGCACTGAAGGTCCTTTCTGACAGGACACTTGAAGCGGGGCAGGCCAGAAGTTCTATCACAAATTGGGATAGCTCAGGCCACAGGTCAAGCCTGCACACCCAGTAGTCAAGGGGTTCATCGCTCCTCAGAGTGTCAATATCTGCAGTTAAGGTGAGGTAGTCTGCTACCTGTCGGTCGAGTCATTCTCTGAGGGTGGACCCCGAAGGGCTGTGGCGATGCGTAGGACTTAAAAAGCTCCGCATGTCCTCCATCAACAACACGTCTGTAAAGCGTCCTGTCCTTGCCGGCGTGGTCGTGGGAGGAGGAGGATTACTTTCACCTCTTCCCCTGTTAGATTCCCGTTGTGCTGTGACATCACCCTTATACGCTGTGTAAAGCATACTTTTTAATTGATTTTGGAACTGCTGCATCCTTTCCGACTTGCTGTAATTCGGTAACATTTCAGGCACTTTCTGCTTATACCAGGGGTCTAGTAGCGTGGACACCCAGTACAGGTCGTTCTCCTTCAGCCTTTTTATACGAGGGTCCCTCAACAGGCACGACAGCATGAAAGACCCCATTTGCACAAGGTTGGATGCCGAGCTACTCATGTCCTGTTCCTCGTCCTCAGTGATCTCACTGAAGGTATGTTCTTCCCCCCAGCCACGTACAACACCACGGGTACCAGATAGGTGACAACGAGCACCCTGGGATGCCTGTTGTGGTTGGTCTTCCTCCTCCTCCTCAAAGCCACATTCCTCCTCTGACTCCTCTTCCTCACAATCCTCTTCCAGCGTTGCCGCAGGTCCAGCAAGCGATGCTGATAAGGCTGTTTCTGGTGGTGATGGTGACCACAACTCTTCCTCTTCACGCTCATCTACGGCCTGATCCAGCACTCTTCGCAGGGCACGCTCCAGGAAGAAAACAAATGGTATGATGTCGCTGATGGTGCCTTCAGTGCGACTGACTAGGTTTGTCACCTCCTCAAAAGGACGCATGAGCCTACAGGCATTGCGCATGAGCGTCCAGTAACGTGGCAAAAAAATTCCCAGCTCCGCAGAGGCTGTCCTAGCACCCCGGTCATACAAATACTCGTTAACGGCTTTTTCTTGTTGGAGCAGGCGGTCGAACATTAGGAGTGTTGAATTCCAACATGTCGGGCTGTCGCAAATCAAGCGCCTCACTGGCATGTTTTTTTGCCGCTGGATATCTGAAAAGTGCGCCATGGCCGTGTAGGAACACCTGAAATGGCCACACAACTTCCTGGCCTGCTTCAGGATGTCCTGTAAGCCTGGGTACTTATGCACAAAGTGTTGTACGATCAGATTACACACATGTGCCATGCACGGCACATGTGTCAACTTGCCCAAATGCAATGCCGCCAACAAATATCTTCCGTTGTCACAAACCACTTTGCCAATCTCCAGTTGGTGCGGAGTCAGCCACTGATCCACCTGTGCTTTCAGGGTGGACAGGAGTGCTGGTCCAGTGTGACTCTCTGCTTTCAGGCAAGTCAACCCCAAAACGTATCCCGTATCCGGGATGTGGAATAGTACCTGGGGAGCTGGGGGGTGCCGTTGATGTGGAGCAAGATGCAGCAGCAGAAGAGGACTCAGCCGAGGAGGTTATGGAAGAGGATGGAGTAGGAGGAGTAGAGGAGGTGGCAGCAGGCCTGCTTGCAAGTCGTAGCGGTGTCACCAACTCCTCTGCAGAGCCACGCATTCCATGCTTGGCAGCCGTCAGCAGGTTTACCCAATGCGCAGTGTAGGTGATATACCTGCCATGACCATGCTTTGCAGACCAGGTATCAGTGGTCAGATGGACCCTTGCTCCAACACTGTGTGCCAGACATGCCATTACTTCCTTTTACACAATCGAGTACAGGTTGGGGATTGCCTTTTGTGCAAAGAAATTTTGTCCGGGTACCTTCCACTGCGGTGTCCCAATAGCTACAAATTTTTTGAACGCCTCAGACTCCACCAGCTTGTATGGTAAAAGCTGGCGGGCTAAGAGTTCAGTCAAGCCAGGTGTCAGACGCAGGGCAAGGGGGTGACTTTGTGACATTGGCTTCTTACGCTCAAACATGTCCTTGACAGACACCTGACTGTGGGTAGATGAGCAGGAACTGCTCAAGGCGAGAGACGGAGGGGCGGATGGTTGAGAGGGGGCAAGGAGGACAGCAGTCGTTAACGTGGCTGAAGATGCTGGACCAGGAGGAGGATGGCGGCTTTGAGTTTGTGCGCTGCTTGTACACGTGTTGATCCCATAGGCGTTTGTGATGTGCGATCACGTGCCTTCGCAAAGCAGTTGTACCTAGGTGGGTGTTGGACTTCCCACGACTCAGTTTCTTTTGGCACAGGTTGCAAATGGCATCGCTGTTGTCAGAGGCAAACACACAAAAAAAATGCCACACTGCTGAGCAATGACGGCATTCTGGTGGTGGCAACAGCATGCGTTGATTGGCGTGCTGTCTGGCTGACCCCGGGTGCCCATGCATGCTGTCTGACTGTGCCACTAGCTCTTTGCAACGACCTCCCCCTGCTTCCAACTCGTCTCCTCCTCCTCCTCCTCTCTGTCTCCCCATCTGAACTTTCCCCCTGTTCTTCTTCTCTTCTAGCGGGCACCCACGTGACATCCACGGACGCATCGTCATCATCAACCGCTTCACTTGTATCTGACAACTCAGCAAAGGAAGCAGCAGCGGGTACAACATCATCATCACACCGTACGTCCATGTGTGTAATGCTGCCTGACTGAGACATATCCCTGTTATCTACATCCCCTGGCAATAATGGTTGCGCACCACTCATTTCTTCCAACTGATGTGTAAATAACTCCTCTGACATACCAAGTGAAGCTGCTGTGGTGCTAGTGTTGGTGGTGGCGGCAGGCGGGCGAGTGGTAACTTGAGAGGTGCCCGAAGCTAAGCTGGAGGAGGATGGTGCATCAAGGTTCTGAGCGGAAGCTGTAGAAGATTGGGTGTCCTGTGTTAGCCAGTCAACTATGTCCTCAGAACTTTTCGAGTTCAGGGTACGTGGCCTCTGAACACTGGGCATTATTCTAGGGCCAAAGGGAATCACAGCACCACGACCACGACGGCCCCTGCGGGGTGGCCTGCCTCTGCCTGTCATTTTTTTTTCGATTAGTGGTACTATGCGTGCAAGCTACTGTGACAACAGATATGAGTGGCACTGTGCAGTGGCAGAAGTTGGCAGAGTAGACGCTGTAGGTCTGACACACGCTTGCAGACAACTAACTGCTATTCAATCTATTACAGTCAAAATTGTATTTATTTTTTTTAAATGTACACTACTGTTACACCAGATATGAGTTGCACTGGTGTAACACTGTGCCCTGGCAGGCCCTGAAACGCACACTCGTGAAGGAAACTGACTGCTATTATATTACAGTCCAAAAAGTTTTTTTTTTGTTAAATGCAAGCTATTGTGACACCGGATATGAGTGGTGGCACTGGGCAAGTGGGCACAGTATACGCTGTGAGCCTGACATACACGCTGGCAGACAACTAACTGCTATTCAATCTATTACAGTAAAAATGTTATTTATTTTTTTAAATGTACACTACTGTTACACCAGATATGAGTTGCACTGGTGTGACACTGTGCCCTGGCAGGCCCTGAAACGCACACGCGCGAAGGAAACTGACTGCTATTATATTACAGTCCAAAAAGTTTTGTTTTTATTAAATGCAAGCTATTGTGACACCAGTAAGTGAGTGGTGGCACTGGGCAGGCCCTGAAATGCACACTCGTGAAGGAAACTGACTGCTATTATATTACAGTCAAAAAAGCTTAGTTTTTTTTAAATGCAAGCTATTGTGACACCAGTGAGTGAGTGCTGGCACTGGGCAGGCCCTGAAACGCACACTCGTGAAGGAAACTGACTGCTATTATATTACAGTCCAAAAAGTTTTGTTTTTTTTAAATGCAAGCTATTGTGACACCGGATATGAGTGGTGGCACTGGGCAAGTGGGCACAGTATACGCTGTGAGCCTGACACACACGCTGGCAGACAACTAACTGCTATTCAATCTATTACAGTCAAAATTGTATTTTTTTTTTTTTTAAATGTACACTACTGTTACACCAGATATGAGTTGCACTGGTGTGACACTGTGCCCTGGCAGGCCCTGAAACGCACACGCGTGAAGGAAACTGACTGCTATTATATTACAGTCAAAAAAGTTTTGTTTTTTTTAAATGCAAGCTATTGGGACACCAGTGAGTGAGTGGTGGCACTGGGCAGGCCCTGAAACGCACACTCGTGAAGGAAACTGACTGCTATTATATTACAGTCAAAAAAGTTTTGTTTTTTTTAAATGCAAGCTATTGTGACACCAGTGAGTGAGTGGTGGCACTGGGCAAGTGGGCACAGTATATGCTGTGAGCCTGACACACAGGCTGGCAGGCAGGCAACTGCAATTACATTACACAGAAAAAAAAAAGCAG